ATACCTCTTTTGCTGCAAGTTGTTTCTCACTTCATCGGTTAATGACCCTGGATCCATTTGAAATAAATCCTTAGGATGATCTCTTCCATTTTGTTTGTATAACTTTAGTAACATGTCCCTCAACAAGCCTTCAACATCATATGTTTGTGACACAGTGATCCATGCAAGACAATCAAAATGTCCAATGACATACTGGTTGGCAAGAACTTTTTTGGCTAGATTGGACTTTCCCAGCCCTGCCATTCCTACCACAGAGATGACAGTGCGCTCTTCTCTTCCCTTTACCATCAATGCCGCGACGCATATGTCGAACACTGTAACACTTCTATATCACATATGTTCGTGCTTCAGATCCCAAAACTATTTTAAGCCCTACTAAAAAAGATTTAGTTTCAATCACTACTTTAAAAAGATTTGGTTTCAATTACTAATCAATATGAACCCTTGTACAAATGTCTTTTGTAACTGAGTTTTCTAGATAGAGAATGAATATCTATGTTCATATTCAGTTTTTTCATAAAATTTCGAGGTATGACAGTATTTTCATAACTCTTGACAATTCGTCTGCTTAGGAGTATTTTCATAAGATTTGCACCATTGTTTATGTTCTTGCCTATATTGGGAATTCGATTCCTGCATCTTATCACATAGATGGAATCCTTGAAGGTCTTCTGGCTGATTATTCTCTACTTGTTTTTGTTGTTGAGAGCAAGTTTGGTCTCGTGGATTTAGATGAAGTAGTAACTTTTTCTAGCACATGAACTTTGTCTTAACAAGTTTAAGAAGGTCTCTGCACCTGATTTGATATATCTCAATTTAACTCATGTTCCATTCAATCCTCCTCATTCTGAAGATGTGTCACCTACTAGTGTTGAATCTTCATCTTCTCTGTTTCCTTCACCTCATCCAGATCAGGCCTTGCATCAGTTTCATGGTAACAAATGCTCTCGTGGTGGTTGTACTGGTAGAGGTAGAGGCAGGTTTTCCAGCTCTGATGTTCAGTTTCAAGTTTGCTTTAAATTTGATCACACAGCTCTGACTTGTTGGCTATGAAACACGGATTCAGACACTCAGACACAGGTATTGTTAAAACATAGGACACCGATACTGCTATATAGAAGAGAGTATTTAAGCTTTATTTATTCATTTATGATTAAATAAGTTGAAAATATTTTAATCAAAATTAACGTCTTTAATAATACATGGTTAACAATTTTAAATTTGCGTGCGATTTGTTCAAAATATGAAGGAAAAAAAAGTGTGTTGAAGAAAAAAAACAAATTTTTATTTAAAACACTTGTTTGAATTGTCAAACACGTGTTATGAGTCTCGTATGTGTGTCAACCATTGATTTAAAGAGTGTTTAAACAAATAAAAAAACATTTTTTAATGGACACTTGTCTGATTTTTTCAATACTTTTTTGACTTTTTTGATACGTGTCGTACAAGTGTCATACAAGTGTCGGACACTGACGTGTGTCGGACACCGCGACACGCCTACTCCTACTCCTAAAAGTGTCTGTGCTTCATAGCTTGTTGGTATAGGTTTAATCAAAGTTATATTTCTTCTCGACCGATAATCCTTAGACTCATGGCGCCTGATCACCCTTAAATGTTGATTATGGCTCTTTTTCAACCAATGTATGGACAATGCCTCCTACACCTTCAAGGAATGTAGCAAGTTTCTCTAATTTTCCTAGTGATTTTATTGTTAACTCAGTGCCAACTGCCTATGCATCTTGGTTTTCAGACTCTGGAGCTTCCTTTCATATCACCAATGATGCCACTTATTCTCTGCTGACAAATGTCTTGTCCACTCTCAGGTCTCCCATGACATTCTTTGTTGGCAAGGATGGAGTTTATGAGTTCCCTTTTCTCACCCAGGCTAGCAATGTGCTCAAGCCAAAGTCCCTACTCTAGTGTGCCCTACACCTACTCAGTCTATTTTTAACAAGTATATATAGTGTTATGATTTAAGCAAGGTAGTCAAAATCGAGATCTTATGCGAGATCAAAAAGGGGTCACAAGATCGTGAATCGGAGTATCATAATATAGATCGTAAGATCATACGAATTTCACAAACTGAGATATATTGCATATATATTGCATATAAAAAAATATAATTTAGTAAAAAAAATTCAAATCATACCAAAATTAAAGGAAAAAAGTTTAAAAGGTGTATGTACTGAATGTGAATAAGAAAAAAAATTAAAAAGAGTGATGAAGGAATGTTTAAATTTTAAAAATTTTAAAATGCGTGAGAATAATAGTTTTAGAGAATAAATAGGCAGGTGGCTATATTAGGAAGTTAAAAAAATAATTAGTGTATTGTAAAGGTTTTAAGAAATAAACTGGAATTTAATTGTAATTAAGTGTGAGAAATAAATGTTGCACAGGTTCTAGCCAAAAATAATCTATTTAAAAGTTTCAGAACTGAAACGAAAAAAACGAAGATTATATCGTTTCTACCGTTTTTGCACTGAGATCCCATTGTTACCACCTAAATCTGAGTTTTTGCATTCACAGGGTTGCCAAGCCTATCAAAGATCGTGAAATTGTACGATCCTACGAGTAGGATCGCAATTTTCACTACCATGAATTTAAGGATGTACTTTCTAAATCTACACAAGTTTAGTCTTTAGGAAGATTAGATACAAAATTATGTGACTACTTTAAATTATTTGTTTTAAAAAGTAATTTCTTTATTTATTTATTTTTGTTAAAGTCTGTGGATTATTAATGACTAGCGCAGGCGAGACTCAGGCCACCGTTTTAGAGCTCGTAAATAATTGTGGACAGACAATTTTATCCCATATTCTATTATTTATTTTGTTATCCGTACATTATATTCTTTTTATCAAATATCCTTATATAAATAATTTATTAAAAATAAAAAAAATATTATAAAAACTTACTACCGGAACTCTTTTGTAAAGTCGAAAGTACACAAAAATTGACTACTGAAACTCTTTTACAAAATTCTCCGTTGACTACTGAAACTCTTTTGCAAAATCTTCCGGTACACAATAAAAGTTAAAAATATTTTAAAAAATGACTATCGGAACTCTTTTTTAAAGTTTTCCGTTACACAAAAAAGTTTTAAAATGACTATCAGAACAAAAAATATTATAAAAACTTACTACCGGAGCTCTTTTGTAAAGTCGAAAGTACACAAAAATTGACTACTGAAACTCTTTTACAAAATTCTCCGTTGACTACTGAAACTATTTTGCAAAATCTTCCGGTACACAAAATAAAAGTTAAAAATATTTTTAAAAATGACTATCAAAACTCTTTTTTAAAGTCTTCCGTTACACAAAAAAGTTTTAAAATGACTATCAGAACTCTTTTGCAAAGTCTTCCGGTACAGGAAAGTTAACTACCAGAACTCTTTTGCAAAGTCTTTCAGTATACAATTTTAAAAAAAATTTAAAAATAACTACCGAAATTCTTTTGCAAAGTCTTTCGATACACAAAAATTAACTACCAAATTTTTTTGGTAAAGTCTTCCGTTACCCAAATAAAAATTAAAAAATACTTGAAAAATAACTATCGAAACTCTTTTTCAAAGTATTTCAATAAGTAAAATAAAATTTAAAAAATAAAATAATAAATTAGTTTAAAGTATACAAAAATAAAATTGATATTTTTTTATAAGATATAGGGGTATAGAGATAAAGGTAAGGGTATAAATTAAAATTTTCACCATTTAATATGCACAGATTTATGCAGAGTTGGTTAAATAGGGCCCAATAGCCCGCATACCCAACTCTATCTATAATTATAAATCAAATTTTTTTATTCTCTTGTAACATTTCTAAATTATAAGATGTTTTGTTTATTTCATACGAATTAAGACATATTATTATTTTATAAAAAAAATAAATTATGTATAATTTTACAGTAATATCCCTTATAATTATACATGAAAGAAAAATTAAAAGAGTTAAAATAATAAATAATAACAAATATTTGAAGATATATTAAAAAAAATGTCATTAATGTTTTATTAGAAATGTAAGGTGACTTATAATTTGAGATAAATTTTTTTTGACAAAGTAATTTATAATTTGAAACAGTTGCTAAAGTAAAAGTTGTGAACTAATTTGATGATAAAAGTTCAAGTTGATAGGAGAATGTCAAAGCAAAATATTCTAAAATGGTTTAATATTCTATAACACTTCAGTATTTATATGCACCAATTTATCAATAATTACATGTGAGATTTGAGATTTGAGATCCATATGTGGATATTATCATCCTATGAATAAAGGAAGTTGAAGCTATGAAAATAGAGCAATTGGAGCACAAGCCAAAAGAGCAATAGGAATTAGAGCCCATTTAAGTCTTTCTTTTAGCAACATGGACAAAGCTGCAGCAAATGATACATTGATACCATTGTAGTCAAATTGTCAATACAACAATGAACAAAGAAGCCAAACCTAATATTAATCTCAGGTAATGCCATGACAAAATCTTCATCAGCAAAGCGCGCATTTAAGATCGCTAGGAACATCAGAGGAGAAGCCATTGAGGAAAACAAGGCTAATGCATCTGACACAACAAATACCATAGAATGTGTTATCTGATAAGAATTCATGTATTCCTTTGTCCTGGTTGTTACCTCCAGGTACAGTTATTGTGTCTGCAAAGGCTATTGTCATACAACAGTTTGATGTATCCTTCATCCAATTCTTCCCTTCTTCAAGTAATGTTTTATGCTACTCCTGTTGTAGTAAAAGTCCATGTGGAGAGTCTAAACTGCCGTTGCACTTGAAGTTGAAGCCCAACACCTAATAAATCACATCACTGCAAATTATCACTACACATTGTGAAAAATAGACTCTTTCGAACAGTACCATATTAATGGTGATTCTGAGTTAATATAATAAAGCATATGACAATAAAAAAAGCTTGTATTTTCATGACTGAGCATCTCAGTCTTATGGAAAATAATAAATAGTAGTAGCAAAATATAGGTTTTTGGAAGAAGCGCACCTTTATTCCCACTGACTATGATAAGAGCTGATTTCTACATGGGGTACAAGCTCCGTGATCCAATTCATATCCTCAATAGAAAGTGGTTGCACAGGTTCATGTTGCATACTTTGAATATGAAGAACTTCTAGCTTCTCCAAGTGTTCGATGCCAGTAGGTATATTCTTCAGTCCGTGCAGTACTCGTAACTCGAGCTTTTTAAGAGAAGGCAGTGCTCCTTTGTCGATGATAATATCTGTCAATTCATCCGCATATCCAACATACAGTTCCTTTAGTTTCTGAAACCATTCATCTTCAAAATGCAACTGAAACCCTACACAAGAAGCAATGCCTATAGAGAGCTTCAACAAGTTTTGCAAACTTTTTAGGGATTTTATTGGATCTTTAGTGAAACGAGAGTACATCAACTTCAACTCAACAAGATTTTGTAGCTCTAACATCCAATCTGGCAACTTCTGTAGCCTCCCACGTAGTGTAAGTTTGCGAAGCATAGTTGGCGTTGAAATCAAATGTAAATCAATGAAATCAAAGTCATTACCGGTATTACTTGATAGAACAGACAGTTTCTCCAAGTGATGCATTTCACTGATTGAGGAGGACAGAATGCTTCCTTCTTCTGTCCCAACATTAACCAACCCCAAATCCCTTATCTGCCTCAGCTTTCCTAACTCTTTAATTATCTCTGTTGCTCCATCCATACCTAAATCAATGTAACGAAGCGTTTGTAGGGATGCCATCTCTCCAATACAATCCTTTAATTGGATCAAAGACAGTTTAGAGCTGATAAGATGTCTTAACTTTCTGAGCTTGCTAATCTCCTTTGGCAACTCACAGATGAATGTATCCCTTATATCCAAGGTCTCTAGGTTCTGGAGCAGGCCAATTGATTTTGGGACTTCATCTACCTTATATGAATGCCTGAAGCATAAATACTTCAAGTGGATCAAACTTTCCAAATTCTTAGGAACATTCAACGATGGAGCAGATTCATAATCAAGAACCTTTAATAACCTGTATGTGGTAGCTGTTGGGATTCTCTCCTCAAAGTATACATATGACTCTTCATTTTCAAAAATAAACAGAGACCGGAGATGCGAGCCTTCAATATGCAGCAACAAATCATCAAAAGTGGGTGTTATTGATGAGCGCCGGATTATTCCACTAAAGGATGACTGTCCATCATCACTAATATGCTTGCAAAAATTTAAATCCTCAAATTTTTCAAGTATCATATCACGTATTAGATCATGAACACGGCATGCTTTAGCTTTACCATCAATTCTAGTTGAAGATGCTTGCACCAAGTTTCTATGGATCAATTCTGTTAAATATCCTTCTGCCACTTCTTCCAAAGTCTTTCCCCTTTCCTCCTTGACAAACCCTTCAGCTATCCATTGTCGAATCACTCTATTTGATTTAACTTCATAATCTTCTGGATATATTCCAAAATATAACAAGCATGACTTGAGATAGTAAGGCAAATTATCGTAACTTAAACCTAAAATTTTTTCTATACCAATTAAATGTGTATCTTTCTTTAGCTCTAAACTTAAATTTTCTTTGAATCTCTGCCACTCAAACACGTTTTTCTCTCTTGTAGACAAAAGACCACCAATGGCAACAATTGCTAGTGGTAACCCTTTGCATTTTTCAACAATTTCATTAACTATATCAATAAACTCTTCTGGACAACACCCGCCATAGTCAAATCTGAATGCCATTTTATTGAACAACTCCATAGATTGTTCTTGAGATAAAGGTTGCAACTCAAGCACTTCAACCAAAGAAGATCTTTTACAAGACGCTACAACATCCAGATTCCTTGTTGTTATCAATACCTTACTTTCATTTTTATTATCAATTACAGCAAATTCAATATCATCCCAAAAGTGCACATTCCAAACATCATCAAACACAACAATGTACCTCTTTTGCTGCAAGTTGTTTCTCACTTCATCGGTTAATGACCCTCGATCCATTTGAAATAAATCCTTAGGATGATCTCTTCCATTTTGTCTGTATAACTTTAGCAACATGTCCCTCAACAACCCTTCAACGTTATATGATTGAGACACTGTGATCCATACCCGATAATCAAAGTGTCCAATGATGTCCTTGTTGTCAAGAACTTTATTGGCTAGAGTGGTTTTACCTTGCCCTCCCATTCCTACCACAGAGATGACAGTGCGTTCTTCCCTTCCTTTTACCAACCAATGAATTAGCATGTCCTTTTGTGTTTCAAAGCCCACAACATCAGCTTCCTCAATGTAAAGAGCAGCCACACGAGGATCGTGCCATTTGGCAATCTGACTTCTTCTAGAACCGCTTGATCCTTGTTCAAGAGAACGTTGGAAGCCATATCTTTCACTCCTTTCCTTGATCCCACGAACAGATGACTTAATGTCTTGAATCTCAGATGCTATTCGATGGCGAGAGAGAATAGTTTTGAATTTATGGAGTAAATCTACGCATCCAGGATCACGAGGCTGCTGACCTGCATGGATCAAATAGTCATCAATGATATCTTCAATGCGAAAAGCTGCTTCCCTAAGTTGCTTCACCCATGTTTTGACTCCTTCGGCTGATGCAGCTTTTTTATCAGCATCTTTAAGGAAAGCTTGGATGCTCTCGAGTTCATCTTTAATGTCTGCAAAGTCCTTGTGAACACCTCTCAGCAGATTTGCTTCTTCCCTTAACAGTGGAAGCAGATGGTCAATAGCAAAAGATACAGCAATTTCAGCCATTTGAATGAAAGTTGTGAATATTGTTGTTGTGAGATGAAGAAGACTATACCTGTTTGTATTCATATCATGAAGAAAGGAAAAGGAAGTTGCCTGCTACTCACTAAGGAAGTTGCATGCTGTCAACGTTCCACTAAAGTAAAAGTCAGTGTGGGGTTCACTTTGTCAGTGTGGGGTTCACTTTGTCAGTGTGGGGCAATATGCATCTATATATAACCACAAAACAGATTTTTTTTTTTTAAAATCTACTAAATTAATTAATCCTTTTTTTCATACTGATGTATTTTTTTATTAAGGCTTCTACAAAAATATATTTTCAAACAAAGCTTATCAATTCTCATCAGTTTTAGTATCTGCTATTAAATTAATATGTATTTGAATAACATGGTTGTTGATAAATTTTTAACATTTTAAAAAGTTTATTTGAAGACAGTAATGAAGTCAGTGATACTTTCTTCTGTTATGGATCAAACAGAAAAAATCAAGAGAAAAATAATGTATTAAAATGCTAGAAAGCAACAATTACAATTACAAACAACTCAAATATCAAATAAAAAAAATATTAAGCCAATCCATAATTTAGATATTTCATACACCATTATTATTAAAAAAACAACAAACTAAACCTACAATTTTTTACTGAGGAACTAGTAGCACCGACATCTCTGAAAATCTCTGAAAAAATGCGTGTGTGTCTGTGTGTCGGTATCAGACACCAGCACCGACATTTGTGATTACGTTTAATTTATTCGTTTTTTCAAATTATTACCGGGGTCGCGGTCAGTATCGGAATCGTATTTGGAGTGTCCGTGCTTCATAGTTGAGGAACGAAAATCCCAAAGTGTTGCAGGAAAAGTCTCTGGAGAATCTGAATTGTCATTGCATTTTAAGCTGAAGCCGAGTACCTACCAAACCACAGAAACTATCACTATACACTGAGAAAATAGCCCTTGAGGATCATAAAATAGAAGAAAATTAAGCTTGTATTTGGATGACTGAATAATGATTATTCTCATGCATATGGAAAACAATAAGTACCAATACCAAAAATAGGTTTTAGGAAGATAAATCACACCTTTTTTCCCCTTGAGTAAGATAAAGTATTACTTCTACCTTATTGGATTTAGAGTAACAAATCCACTAGGGGTAGTAATTTCAACAGCGGGCCCATACTTGAAGATCCAATTCCAATCCTCAGTGGAAATGTCCTCCAAATGTTCAATTCCAGCATACCCAATATAGAGAACTTCAAGCTTCTCTAGATGTTGGATTCCTGTTGGCATAGTCTTCAGACTGAAGAGTCCGTGTAACCGAAGCTTTTTCAGAGAAGGAAGTGCTCCTTTGTCGATAATACTATCTCTCAATTCATTTGATTTTTCAACATACAGTTCCTTTAGTTTCTGAAACCCTCCATCTTCAAAATGCAAACATAAACCTTCATAAGCAATTTCTTTTATAGAGAGGATCAACAAGTGCTGCAAATATTTTAGGGATTGCATTGGATCTTCAGTTAAAATGGAACGCATCAACCTCAACACAACAAGATTTTGAAGCTCTGGAATCCACTCTGGCAACTTCTGTAACCACCCAATTAGTGTAAGTTTGCGAACCATAGTTGACGTGGAATTCAAATGCAAATCATCGAGTTTATGAAAATTCTTATATGATGAAACAAATAGTTTCTCCATGTGTTGCATTTCATTGATTGAAGAAGATATAATGCTTCCATCTTCTTCATGAACATTAATCAACCCCAAATCCCTGATTTGTTTCAGCTTTCCTAACTCTTTAATTACCTCTGCTGCTCCATCCATATCTAAATCAATATTGCGTAGCGTTTGTAAGGATGTCATCTCTCCGATACCATTCTTTAGTTCAATCAAAGAAATATTAGTGCCGATAAGATGTCTTAGCTGTCTAAGCTTGCTAATCTCTTTTGGCAACTGAAGGGTATCTGTATCTCTTACTTCTAAGGTCTCTAGGTTCTGGAGCATGCCAATGGATTTTGGGATTTTACCATCTCTAATATAATTGAAACTTAAATACTTCAAATGGATCAAACTTCCAACCTCATTAGGAACATGCAACAATCGAACACGTTCATAATCAAGAATCTTCAACAACCTGAATTTTGTAGGGATTCTCCGAAAAGATAAGAAAGTTGATGCATTATTTCCAAAAACAAATAAAGACCGAACATGCGACCTTTCAGTATTGAGGATTAAATCATACAAACTGGTGCTTGTTAATTCGGTTGTTATTAATAAGCGTCTAGTTATTCCGCTTAAGGTTGATTGTCCATCATCACTAATATGCTTGCAAAAGTTTAAATCCTCATTTTTTTCAAGGATCATCTCGCGTATTAGATCATGAACACGACAATGTTTAACTTTACCATCAATTCTTAGTGAAGTTACTTGCACCAAGTTTCGATGGATCAATTCCGTTAAATATCTTTCAGCTACTTCTTCCAAAGTCTTCCCCCTTTCTTCCTTCACAAACCCTTCAGCTATCCATTGTCGAATCACTCTCTTTGACCTAACTACGTAATCTTCTGGATATATTACAAAATACAACAAGCATGACTTGAGATAATAAGGCAAATCATCATAGCTTAAACCAAGAATTTCTTTTATACCTATTAAATGGGTGTCTTTCTTTAGTTCTAAATTTAAGTTTTCTCTAAATCTATGCCACTCAAACCCAGTTTTCTCTCTAGTAGATAAAAGACCACCAATGGCAACAATTGCTAGTGGTAAGCCATTGCATTTTTGAACAATTTCATTGGCTATACCAATGAGCTCTTTTGGACAGCACCCATCATGGTCAAATTTAAATGCCTTCTTATTGAACAACTCCAAAGATTGTTCTTGAGATAAAGGTTCCAATTTAAGCACCTCAATGAAAGAAGACTTTTCACAAGACACCACAACATCTAGGTTCCTAGTTGTTATCAATACCTTACTTCCATTTTTATTATCAATTACAGCAAATTCAACATCATCCCAAAAATGTACACTCCAAACATCATCAAACACGACAACGTACCTTTTTTGCTTCAAGTAGTTTCTCACCTCATCTGTCAATGACCCTCGATCCATTCGAGAAATATCCCTAGGAGCATTGTCTCCTTTTTCTTTGAAAAACTTTATTAGCATGTCCCTCAGCAAGTCTTCAACATTATATGATTGAGAGACTGTGATCCACACACGACAATCGAAGTGTCTGACGACATCCTTGCTGTCAAAAACTTTCTTGGCAAGAGTGGTTTTTCCTTGCCCCCCATTCCTACCACAGAAACTACAGTCCGCTCTTCCCTTCCCTTTACCATCCAATCAGTCAATCTTTTCCTTGGCACTTCAAAGCCCACAACTTCAGATTCTTCAATGTAAAGAGCAGCCACTCGAGGGTCGTGCCATTTGGAATTTCGGCTTTCTCTAGAACTGCTTGATCTTTGTTCTAAAGAACGTTGGAAGCCATATTTTTCACTTCTTTTCGTTATCCCGCAAATATATGACTTAACGTCTTGAATCTCAGACGCTATTCGACGGCGGGGGATCATACTTTTGAGCTTATGGATCAAAGCTGCACAGCCAGGATGAGGGGGCTGCTGTCCCACCTGGATCATATAATCATCAATGATATCTTCAATGCGAAAAGCTGCTTCCCTAACCTGCTTCACCCAAGTTTTGACTCCTTCACTAGTGTTGTCTCCTTCAGCTGTTGCGGCTCTTTTATCAGCATCCTTAAGGAATGCTTGAATACTTTCCAGTTCATCTTTAATGTCTGCAAACTCCTTGTGAATACCCCTCAATAAATTGGCTTCTTCCCTCAACAATGGAAGTAGTTGGTCAACAGCTAAAGACACCACCATTTCCGCCATTTGAGTAAAGCTTTGATTATTTTTGTTATGTGAAGACTACTTGTTTTGCTTGAGACCTTGCCTGCGCAATTTCTATTATGATATAACAAGGGAATAAGGCAAATTCTATTCTGAAGTAACAAGGGAACAAGGTAACTTCTATCATGAAGAAAAGAATATGGTGAATTCTATTATGAAGTAACAAAGGAATAAGGCAATTTCTATCAAGAAGAAAGGAACAAGACAAATTCTATCATGAAGTAAGCAAGGTAATATGGAAACTTCTATCATGAAGAAAGGAATAAGGAAACTTACAGCATGAAGTAACAAAGGAATTTCATTTTTGAACTAAATTCACTCCCACTCACATTATATTCAAACAACTAATGTTTAAAACTATGCATGTTAAAATAATAAGAGTATTTGTTATGTGCAACCTTCTTCATAAAATAAGTCAAGGCCTTTTAATTTTAATAGTATAGTGGCACCTGATACAAAAAATAAGTCAGTTGCAGGTTATCACAATCAAAATAATGAATAAACTTTTGATTACTTGATAAACAAATAAAAGATTCATCCACTTAAACTGATACAAGCATTAATATGTTAGAATAATAAGTGGTCATCTACACTATACTTTGTTTTTACAAATCAGAAATATATTAAAGAAAAAAGAGAAACAGAAACCTATCAGAAATGAAGTTGAAATTTCATAACCACCGTCCTTGAATCTTGATGCAGAACAGATATATTGATGCAGAATTTTGAAAAGTTTTTTAACCAGTTCAGAATTCAGAGAGGAAAAAGTTTCAGAACTTTCTAAAATAAGTTCAGAACTAAAAGAAAGTAGTTTTGAACATTGTTGCGGTTAGAATATGATATCAAATTATTAATTAATTTGAATCGCATCTTTAATTCACAACCGCTCTTTGATTTATCCGAAGAAAAAGGTCAAAAGAGGAAAACCTAATTTTGCATCGTAAAGACAATGCAGGAAGAGATCTAGGTAAGGGGTTGGTTAAGCTTAGAGAAGGTACTAGCACCCTAAACTTCTGTAGTACTCTACAGGAACCTTTTGTTTATCGTATGCTTTTTTTTTTTTATTTATTATCTGCTTTAATATATATTGAGCTAAGGGATAAAGTGACCTAAAGACCTAAGGGTTAGTCCTAAGTTTACTCGGCAAGACGTCGCATCTTGTGCCTACATATCCTGACGGGAATGGAATCAGAGTAATTGTAGTTCCCCTCGAAAGGGAGGTTAGAAACGTCTTGACTGTGGTCAAGGTTTCAATAGGAGTAAACGTATCTTAAGGACACGCTTACGTGGAGTCTTGAAACTCCTATTTCTATGTTGAAAAGTTGAATTAAAATTAGGGTTAAATTAAATATTACACGGCGGGAAACCCTAAAATAGAGTACGGCGACTCTTTGACCTCATGCTAGGGTAAATGGTATTTTCGTCCACGGCAGGACACCTAGGCGATTAGGGTTTTGAAATGGTCAAACGTTAGGGTTATTGACTCGGCGGTCAAACGGCTAGACCTAATCCTTCAGAAGGAATCCTAACGGTAAAAACATGCAAACAGACAAAATATCGTACGACCGAATTAAAATGCGGAAAAATAAAGAAAGCGGTAAAAGAAGCATCGCGACGATCACTCGCGTAAATTACAAATCCCAAAAACAAATGCAAAAATAAAAATAATTGCGATCATGGCCTCGCATAAATTACATCCATGAAACAAAAAAATAGTACGAACAAATGAAATATTGAGGAGCTGCAACGAACAAACTAATGAGGGTTAGACGAAAATGAAGCGGCTAAATCAAAAACTTTATTTTTTTGAATTTTATTTAAAGGGAAGAACTAATTTTTGCATTTAAAAGGAGAACTTAATTTGATTTTAATGTTTTTATTCAAAAATTAGTTTTAATTTGATTAAAAAAATGATTTAATTTTAAGGTTTTTGATGAAAAAAAGTTAGTTTTAATTTTTGTAAAATGTTTTAATTTTAATGTTTAAACAATGTTTTAAATTTTAAAGCAAAAAAAAATGTTTTATTTTTTAAAGTTAAAAAATGTTTTTTTTAAATTTATTTTTAAGAATTATTTTTAATTTTAAGTTTTAAATATGAGTCTTAATTTTAAAAACAAGGTTTAATTTTAATTTTATGATTTTAGCTTAAAAAAATGGTTTAATTTTTTTTTATATTTTAATTAACTTAAGTAAACTAAGTTAATGAGATTAACAATTAGAAATATTTTTATTTTAACAGTTTTCATTAACCTGCATTATGAAAATTATATACCACAGCAATAATAAAATACTAATAACAATATAATAATAACAAAATAAATAAAAAGAATAGGAGGAAGAAAATTGGAAATAAAATGGGGATTCGTAGCGGTGGCGGCTCCCTCATTGATGAAGTTTTGAAGCTTTTTCTTTTTCTTTTGCATGACTATTCTTGCATCTTCTTCTTCCTCGCTTCGCCATAATCTTCTCTTTTTCCTATAAAAAAAAAGAATAACAGAAACCAAATGTGATATTGATGAAATCTTACGAGTTACGGTTTGTTGGTGATTCCGCCGGTGATGAAGCTTTGAAGGTTTTTTCAAAAGTCTTCCCTCTTCTGATAAATCGTTAGAACGGCCGCCGTTTTTTCTTTTTGTCTCCTTCTCCTTTTATCAAATGCAACTCATGTTTATATAGGTAACAAATTAGGGTTAACTCTAACCTAATGCCTATTTTAAAGCCCAACTTAAATAATTAGTCAAAACTAAAAAAAACAAACTAAAACAAACTTAAAAGAACAAAATCTAGATTCGAACTCTCAACCTCTCACACTCACAACTCCTTACACACAGTCTCTTGCCAATTGTGCCATTTTATTCATTCAAAATAAAGTGGCACTAGAAACCATGTAAAGGTAGGACAAATTTGGGGTGCAACAGATGCCCCTATTTAAATAGCTTCACCAGATGATTTGAGCAGCGGAGACTCGAGAAATCGCGGTGAAAGGGATTTAAATACAGATAACCGGAAATTTGGCCCCTAGATGCAGTGATATGCAATGATATGGACAAAATAACACGAACTATAATGCTGACAATGCCATGAATCTAATATGATGCATATGATGGAATGATGAATGCAAGGATGCAGACGACACGACGTCATAGGGGACAGCGCAACGAAGAATTGCACTGGGGAAGAAGACACGCGGTGGTGACAAGGTAACATAGGATCCACACGGAGGCAGGACCAGGTAAACGACAGGCGCTAGAGTTTTCGGGACATTCCTTGAAGAGATCGAGCGGGATCTTCAGGACTCACCGGAAAACATATAGGGAGAGACAAACATCAGAATATTTCGGAAGAACATCAAAAAGGAGACACGTCGTATCTGGAAGAACGTCAGATAGACATGACATGAAATAGTCGATGGGTGCAAAGTAAACTGGACTTTGTCCACAAGGTAAGACGCGGATAAAACACGACCTCGGGGAGAAAAATGCAAATGGGGATAAAACACCCATGCTGCCAAGTAACTAAATTCGTCCACAAGGTAAGACGCGGATAAAACACGACCTTGGGGAGAAAAATACAAATGGGGATAAAGCACCCATGATGCCAAGTAAATAAATTCGTCCACAAGGTATGACGCGGGTAAAACACGACCTCGGGGAGACAAATGCAAATGGGGATAAAGCACCCATGATGCCAAGTAAATAAATTCGTCCACGAGGTAATACGCGGGTAAAACACGACCTCGGGGAGAAAAATGCAAATGGGGATAAAGCACCCATGATGCCAAGTAAATAAATTCGTCCACAAGGTAAGATGCGGGTAAAACACGACCTCGGGAGAAAAAGCAAATGGGGATAAAACACCCATGATGCCAGGTAAATTGGACTTAGTCCACGAGGTAATACGCGGGTAAAACACGACCTCGGGAGAAAAAGCAAATGGGGATAAAACACCCATGATATGCACATGTGTATAAATCATGCTATGATAGATGATCAAATGACAATGCAGATGTCGACGACAAGGCTTGACTTTGTTGGTAAGATGACAAGACTGGAAGACTGATTCCTCAACCCATACATCACTGTCATTTTGTTAAACTGTATCACGCTGATAGTCCCTGTAGGAAGGATGAAAAGCTACTCGGAGATTCTTCAAATAAACTACCCCAGATTGGATGAACTGATAATTGTTTCTCGTAAAATGATTGTTTTACTGTACCCTCATAAGGTTTGCCCCAGTATGAGTCTTGATAAACCAAATCTGAGAAGATCTTGCCCTGAACAAATCTTGAACTGATTCTCAAACGAGATGTAAAAGGAACTTGCCCCTGATAAGATCACTTGACCAAGTTTCTCATTGTTTAAAAATTCCTTAGAGGAAAGCCAGTTTGCAAACAAAAATATTCATACAAACATGGTAATGCAAAGTTCATGCGACTTTTGAAATCAAAATTATTTTTGAAAAATGAAAAATAAGTCGTTGGTCAGAACACGGTGGTTCAAGACGCTCAAAATTTAAAACAAAAGTGTATTGCCAAAATAAATGATTCACAAAGATCTTTTGGAGTCAGGTTACGCAACCTTGTTGTAGTATACTTTCAAAATAACCTTGCTTCAATTAGGTCTTTTGAGGGTTGTAACGTGGTCTGGTTCATGGTTTATGAAACAAAGGATAAAGGCTCAAAATTTATTTATACCCACCCCATCTACATGATGATCTCCAGTCCTATGCTCAGTTAACTCCTATTATGCATTCAGGTTCGTATAGATTAGGAATTGCACTGATGGTAGCAATGATGGTTCAGAAGTCAATGGACCTATGAAAAGCAGCCACTACCTCCTTATGATATTTGGTCATTTTGACATTGAGGATTTTCAGGGTAAAGATTTAAAACTCCTCTTTGTATTATCCCTAAATTTTGCCTGAACTGTTTATTTTGAAAGTTATAGTCAGCGGGATGCCCTAGTTTTGCCTAAGTCTCCTTC